ATTAAATGGGTTAGAATATACAAAGCCCTTAAAAGTGGCTCACATTTAGTAAACACAGACAGTTATCATCATTGTTCTTGTTGCCAATATGTTTTTGGGGAAAAATAACTTAATTCTTTATATGCTACAACAACCTTCTTTTAAAGTAACACTCTAAGCCTCTGAGAGCTCTCACGAAAATAGGGCACATAGACATAGAAGGCTCACTGTATTGTTTCAAGTCTACACTAGATCTCTCATCACAACTTAACCCGAGAATAGAAAATCTCTGCAAACCTTACACAAATAGTTTAATTACCTAACTTAGAGATTTCAAAACAAATCCTCATATAGTGTACACTGGTTGCTTATTTGGGCTTAACAATAAATAATAAAGAAATACCTTTGTGTAACAGGAGAATACATTATAATCCTAACAGCAAGCATCGGAATTCCTCTTATGGACCTATTCTGACAAACTATTGCTGTGGAAACTCAAATCCTTAGATGAGCTAGCTTGAGACAAGCCCACAGCAGAGAAAGTTAAACTCCTCAGCATTAGAAATGAAAAAGAACTTGGGAAGAGAGGAGAGAAGAGAGAAGGTATTGCAGAGTTTATGACAGAACAGCAACATGAGATTTAAGAAAAGGTAGATTCAATATTAAATTTTAAGGGTTTGTATGTTTGTTTGTTTGTTTTCACGATGTAACACTCTGACATTCACACATACACACATGCCCTCCAAAGCTCCAGTAAAGTTAGGTCAACTGGTGGGGAATTTTCTTATTTATTTATATATTTCAATTTTTGGTTTTCTAATGTAAATTAAAGAAAGAGATAAGTTCCATACCTCCTTTGACATGGTTTGGGACAGGGACAATCTGTGAGGTAAGGACACTATCACTTAAGCAGAAACAGTTCTCCAGAGGTGAGCATAACTGGAAGGAACACAAGCGTGTCTCCCTCCCTCTCCATTCCCAGAACCCTCCACGCCGTGAATTTCCAGAAATGCCATCTGTGGTCTATATTCACTTTCTCTAGTGACTGTCTCCCTGCCTGCCAGCCGCACCCCCATTTACTCTTGAGCATACTTGTCAATCAAGCCTTTGCTCTAGGACTGTTCTTGTCAAGGTCGCTGGTGACCTTCATACTGCTACCATCAATAAATGGTCAATTCTCATCTAATTTGACTTATCACAATTTATTGCTTGCTCTTTGAAATGATTTCTTCACTACATGCCTGGGACACCACAAACACTGGGTTTCCTTAGTTCCTCAACAAGTTGATCCTTCTCAGTAGTCTTTACTATCTCCTGTTCTCTCTAACCTCCAAACACTGGATCAGTCCCATCTTGTTCCTATTCTCTTTTCTAGGTGCTCTCACTGCCTTGTGGATCCCAGCCTCACAGATTTCTATATCAAAATATGCTAGCAAATTATTCACCCAAACTCCATATTTATAAATTAAACTTTCTACTTGACTTTCTTACAAACATCAAAGTGCCATCTAAATGTTAAATAGGCATGTCAGTCTCAAAAATTATCTCCTTCCACAATCCTTCTGCCTCAGTAAATGGCATTCCATCCTTGTAGTTCTGAGGCCCAGAGTCTCAGAGTCGCCCTTGCAGCCTCTCTTTCTCTAACAGCCACATCCTGTCCATCAGTAAATTTGGTTATATCTATCTTCAGTATATCTCCAGAATTGGACTACTTCTGACGGCCTCACCATTAACATCCTGGTCTAAGCAACCATCATATTTCAGCTGAATTTTGCCAAGGCCTCTTAACCAGTTTTCATGCCTCTCCCCTTTTCCCCCTTTACCAGGGTCTCTCAACCTCAGCTCTACGGACATTTTGGGCTAGATAACTCCTTGTTACGAAGGGCTACCCTGTGCATTATAGATTGTTTAGCAGTAGGCTTCTACTCACAAAATGCCAGTAGCATACACCCTACCCACCCCCAGGTTGTGACAAATGAAAATGTCCCCAGAGGGACAAAATTGCCCCCAGGTGAGAACCATTGCTTCTCAGTGTATCCTCAATCTAGCCACAAGAATGACACTTCACAACATAAGCCAGATTATATAATGCCTCTGCTCAACATTGACCAATCAATTTCCATACCACAAGAAGGAAGGAAGGAAGGAAGGAAGGAAGGAAGGAAGGAAGGAAGGAAGGAAGGAGTCTTAATCACCATCTGCTAGCTCTCTGTGATCTGCCACCCACCCATTCCTCCCTCACCTTATCACCCACTTCTCACCCCTTCATTCACTCTGCTCCAGTCACTACTTGCCTCTTTGCTGTTCCTCAAATACACCAGGAAAGTTAACACCTCAATGTCTAGACACCTCTGTCCATGGCATCCACTGGGCTTACTCCTTCACTCCCTTGAGTTCTTCACTCAAAAGTCACCTTCCCAGTAAAATTTTCCATGACTGCACAGTATAAGTCCTAGGGTTCTATAGTACTGTAGGGAGATTACAGTTAACAACAATTTACTGTATAATTTCACATAGCTAGTAGAGAGGATTTTGAATGTTCCCAACATAAAAAAATGACAAATGTTTGAAGTGATGGATATGCTAATTACCCTAATTTGATCACTGCACATTGTACACATATATCCAAATATCACAATGCACCCCATAAATATACGAAATTATTATGTCAATTAAGTAAGAATAAATTTAACAAATTGGAAAATAAAACAATCCCTTTCTCATGCCCCATCTGCCCCCCATGCATCCCATCACTCTATTCTAGCTTTATTTTTAATGTCACTTTTCTCCTTCTCATATGTTATATACATTACTAATTGCTTTAATGTCTGTCTCTACCTAATAGAATGTAAGCCCTTGGAGGGAGGGAATTTCTGCCTTTTTTATTCTCTGCTTTATCTACCTTTTGTACAAAAGTGCTTAAAATAGGCATTCAGTAAATGCTCATAGAATAAATGAAGGAAGGCAGGAAGCGTAGAACAGGTCTTGAAAACCATTTTAGATAGATCTGAAGGGTCAAGGCAGACTTGGCTGATATCCAGGATACATCTATATGCATCATTAACAAAAACCCAGTTGGTTTCCACAGAACGTATTTAAAATACAATTTGTATTATACAATGGAAAGTTAAGGATTTATCAGAATGCTTGTGGGATTTTTATGTAGGGGTATTTAGAAAGCGAACTTATAAATCCATTAACATATAGATCTAAGTATCTATAGATATATAAAATAAGTAAAACTCTAAGAGAAATTTTTCAAAGAATCATGGGTTGTGATAACTCCCCTAGATACATAAAACAGAGTATGCTGGAGTAAGTCAAATCACTCAATTATATACACCATAAGGGAGTTTAACAAGTAATAGTAAAAGTGAACAAAGCTCTTTTCTGCAGATGAAAGCCTGCGTGGTTCAATTGTGAGTGAAACAGAAGAACAGAAATGCTTCCTGCTGCAAGCTGACAGTTACATGGAACCCCCTGAAGTTATAAATTGAGTTCCTCTGCTAATTACTGGCCTGAATGGGACAAAGAAGGATCCACATTTTATTTCTCTTGCTGAACTTGCAACATAAGCACTCATGAATTTACATTAGGGTCAAGCTGGGAAGTTCCCAGCCAGTTTTTGCTAGAGTAGAAAACGGTGTCACCTCCCATGCAAATGAGGTCAGGTATTCCTTTCCACCTTGGGTGACTACTAGGGAGATTTCAGTGTAACAGATTCTAATAGGGAAGTTAATACAGAGGTGAAATGACAGAAAGAAAACAGAACAAAACAAAACACAGATCTTATTTGAAATAAAAATTTGCCTATGGACTCTAAGAGCACATATTTTCAAAAAGACCTCAGAATTTTGTAATATCACTCATTAAAATTGTATGTCACACCCACTGATAACAATATCAACTATTCTACTTACCTTCTGAACTAACTACTCATTGTAAGACCAATAAAGCTTCACAGCAGGCAGGTACTTTAATGAAATAGGCCCAGTTCTCCAGGGAGGAGAACTTGTGGTTCAAACACTAACACTTTTGATCAAGTAAGCACTTTATTCTTTCCAATGAGAAATACCTTTCATGTGGATCCCGATCAAAAATGCTCTTGGGAAGGAGAAGGGATGAGGAGGGGTGAGGGGGGAACAAAGGACTGTTGAGATAGAATATTTCAAAATAGGTTTTCTGAGAAGGAAAAAAATAACTTTAACATTTCTAATGCATGTATGTGCACTTTCTAACTTCCTGGAAAGTCATAGTTCATTCCCTGACAAAAGCAGCAGCCTAGTTCAAATCAGGATAACAATTAATTCATTGCTTCTTTTGACCAACAATTATTGAACATATTCTCTTTATAAAAGGGAGAAATGTAAGAACATTCACAGAGAACACAATCTCCATTATCATCAAGTTTCTCTTCTTTCCTTTTTATTCTATTTACTATAATTGTGCACTAGAAATATGACTGAACAAAAATAATCTAAGGGATAACCAATACATTGAGACCTGACATCTGAAAATTTAGAAAGAGAAACTAATCAATGAGGGCATTCTTCATGTAAAATATTGAATAGTTCTGGGAGTTATCAAGACCTAGTTTGAAACCCCAGCTCCTTCACTCACTGGCTGTCTAGATGAATGGAAAACTCCCTGGGTCTCAATTCCCTTATGTGGAAAATGTTCTAACTGTACCTACCCACATCACATGGTAGTAGTGGAGATTAGATGTGATGTTGGCAAGCACCCCTCCACAGTACATATTCAACAAATTATAGCTATTTGGGTTATCTTTTGAAACCCTAAACTTACATAATGCCTTTCTTAATTCCCACAGCACTTATTGGCAAGACTCCAGAAACACTGTCTTATTTTACCTCTTCAGAAGAAATTATTTTTTATGCTCACCTTCACTAAAAATATAAAGATCAGAATTTTCAAGCTTCTGGATGTCTCAAATAAATGCATGAAGAAGAAATTCCGCCTTCAAGGAGCCCTTCCAATAAAACAACCAAGAAAATTCTTACCTAGTTTTGGCAAGGAATAGGGCACTTTAAAGTAGTCTTCATAAAATTCTATTAATCTCTTTGTTATATGGAGAGCATAGTCCCCGGATCCTCTTCTGATAGCATCGGGTCTTGCATATAATCGTACCTAATTAAAAATATATATAAAAGTTACTTTAGCCTTTGGAACTCAAGTTTTATCTTCCCTGCAAATATGAATCTACACAAATCACTTTGGATATCACAAAAATTAAGCAGAATTCTTGTTCATATATCAAAGCATTCTGTGCTTGAAAGAACCAAACTTAAACAATTGAGCTAACCAAGTTGAGCAAGTCACAATTTCATCGCTTTACAAGATGACACAGAGAAGATTTATACACTTTGCATCAAAATAAATATCCAAAGTTATCACTTGCATGTGCTTGCTAGAGATATGAAGGTACCATGGATTAGTATAATGGGTCCCTGACTATGCAGAAAACAGGCAGGATATGGTGGCTGGGCAAGAGAGAAAATTCACGGTTTGTTAAAGACACGTTGTAACACAATTTGGAAGTATTACCAGACTGAGAAAAAATGTATAATTTATGCTTCCTTCTTTTCTTTGGAATCAACTGTCCTTAGTCCCAATATGCAAAGTAGGGATAGAAAAAAAAAAACTTTTCATGGACATAAGTAATCGCCGTTCTGGAAGGCCGCCTGCAACTGCTCTTGGCATCAATCTCAGCTGAAGTAATTCATATTTCTAACACAATCCGGATACTTAGTATTGATTTTTAAAACAAGCATCATATATTGTCTAGTCCTTGGCCCAAAAAAGCCTAAAGCAAGTAACATAAAACTGAGCAAACTAACAATTGTACAGAAAAGGTTAAAATGAGATTAGTTTTCATAAAGCTTTCATAAAGCTATCCAGCATCTCTCTTTCCAAAGGCTAAATCTACTTTTCACAGATGTAGTCCCTAATCCTCATATCAATTCTGTGAATAAGAAATATGCATGTTGTGGAGCAGTAGAAATCACAGCAGCTTGGGAGTTGGATTTAGTCCAACGCTGCCACTAACTAAACTAGGTGATATTGAACAAATTACATAACCTCTCTGGGTCTCAAAAGTTCTCATATGTAAAATGAAGGTATTGGCCACCATATGGTTGCTAAAGTGCTTTTCAGTTCTAAAACACATTACTTCCAATCCCATTTTACAGATAAGGGAGTTTGTGTTCTTTTTAAATCACTAGAAAAATAAATGGTTTATTCAGTATATGAAGAAGGATATTTATATTCAACAAGAAAACAAAAGAAAGTTGCACTCAATCATAATATAAAAATTGATTATACAATTAACTCTTTATTATACCTATTATACCTAAGGAGAGAGAACAGTGACGTGTATTATCAAAGAGTAGAAAGTCAAGGGAAATACATTCTGACTTTCTGTTAGAAGGACCTACAATTCAATAAGGTATTTACTAAATTCAATAACAATTATTTACTAAAATTATGAGGCTACTTCTCTCCTGTAAACTAAGTCAAATATTGTGTGTAGTTTACAGTCACCAACACTTTTGGCTGGCTGTAGTATAAAATCAAAAACTATCAGGAGAGACCACCTGCCGCAGCTGAACAGAACACTCTTAGAGAGGCATGATTAGGATTCCCTAACCCCCAGGGCCGGCCCAGTGGCGCACTGCAGAGTGCACCGCTTGGGAGTGCAGCGGTGCTCCCGCCAAGGGTTTGGAACCCATGTGGAGACCAGTTCCCGCTCACTGGCTGAGCGCAGTGCGGGCGCAACACCGAGGATTGCGATCCCATTACCGGTCAGTAAAAAAGACAAAAAGGAAAAAAAAAAGGATTCCCTACCCCTGACATCAACTGTCTATAAACATTCAATGTCTTAAGCAAGGTTCCTAAGAAGTAGACCCTAAGGAAAGGATGCATATACGAGTGATTAAATAAGGAAGTGCTCACAGGAGAAACAAACAAGGGAGTGGAGGAAGGAGGATAAGGGAGGATAACAGGCCAGGTAAGGGTGCAATTTCACATGAAGTCCTGGACTCAGCCTGATCCACAGGGAGCTCTAAAGTGTGAGTTACACTGGTGAGTTTATGGTGCCTAGAGGCAACAAAACTAGACTTCCATACTTTTGTACCTCAGTCACTGGCTACTGGTTACCAAAGGAAGGCTATAAAACCCCAGGTACTTCTGGTTGTTGGAGCAGTTGGGTGACACAGGTCCTGTGGCCCAAGGATAGCCCTTTGGAAAAGGTGTCAGGTATTAGCTATTAAAAGCAAAGCAGTGGGAGCTAGTGGATGGAAACACCAAAAAGGAAAAGGGATGTAGTCTGTGCACCAGCAGCACCCACCGGAGACAATAATCATTCATTCATGTATTCATTCAAACGATACATATTTATTTGACACCTGTTTGTACCAGGGCCTGGAAAAAGTATTTTTAATTTAACAATGAAAAAGACATGTTCTCTAACTAAAGGAGGTACTAAGCACTATTGAGACAAAAAGCAATGAACATGTAATCATCATTCTCAAAGAGATTCTCATTTATTAGGTAAGTAATATAATGGCAATAGATAATGATACATGCCATATGAATGGCAAAATATAAATGGCAAATGGGCACTGAGGAAGAATGAATAGCTTTCAGAAAGTTCAAGGTGAAATAACTAGTAAATTCTTGTTAAAACCATAACCATAACTGCCGCAAAATGATGCAGAAAGGGTCACTGATTTTACTCTTAGGAAGAATCACTGATTTTGGTGAAAACGCAGCCATTCCTATCAATCAATTCTACCAGTCACTCAAGCTATCTGTAGGCCCAGACAAGAAAAACATGACTAAATCAATCTGGTTGTCAAGATTTGATGGAAATGATCCAATTTGAGTGGGAAGATAAAACACACACATGCTTAGCACAGTGTCTTCTGTTGCTCATTCACACATTTATTGTACACCTACTGTGTGCCAGGCATTGTACTAGGGCATACAAATAGAACAATAAAATTCCTACCACAAAATGAACAAGACATTTATACTTACTGCTCTTAAGAGGTTCACAATATGTGGAAAACAAACAAATAAATCAACAAGAAAAATACAATCTGAGAAGTGTAACAGTGTACTCTACCTGCCCTCCCATCACAAAGGAAGATCTGACTAAGCTCCTCTCCAAGGCTAAGCCCTTCACATTCTATCCTCTCTTGTTGTTTCAAAGACAACATTCCCAAAATTCTCCCCTTTATCTCTCACATCACCAATTTATGCTTCCATACTCAATCATTCTCATCAGCAAAAAAAAATACCCTGTATTATTTTAAAATAAATCTTTCTTGACCACAGTTCCTCCAGATATGGTTTCCAGTCTTACTCCTTGAAAGAGTTTTCCACTTCAGATGAACATTACAACCTGAGACAATAGGTGTAAGTAGGATGTTTGCCAGTTTATATTCCTTAATTCTAGTCTCTCTTGAACTCACTGCAACAAGGCTTTCATCCCAACTATTCTACCAAAACTTTGTTCTCACTAAGATCACTAATAGCCTCACAATGCCAAATTCAACACTTAGTTTTCAGTCAACATGCATAACCTATCAGCAATATATGCAGAGCTGATCATTTCCTGTTCTCAAAACACTTTCTTCATTTGGCTTCTCTTACTTTCCCCTCTATCTCCCTAATCACTCCTTCTCAGTCTCCTGGCTCAAGCCATACACTTCTTCACTTCTCTGTCTACCCTCACTCCCTTGGAGATAAAATCTAGTCTCACAGTGTAAATATCATTTAGATGCCAAGCACTTACCTAAGAATTACAGAATTCCAGACTTATTAATCCAACTTCCCACCTGACATCTCCACTTGGATATCTAAGAGGCATCTCATACTTACTAAGTCTAAAACCAAACTCCTGATGTCACTCACAAAAACACGCACACACATACTCATGTACACACACACACACACATACACACACACACATCTACTCCTCCTAAAACCTTTCCCATCTCTGTTAATGGCAAGTCCATCCTTCCATCCAGCTGCCCAGGCCCAGTACTGAGGCATTATCTTTATTGTCCTTCTTTCTCTCACACTCCATGTTCAGTTGGTCAGCAAATCCTACTGGTCCCACATTAAAAATATATCCAGAATCCAGCACATCTTGCAAACCTACTACTTCCACCCTGGTACAAGCCTCCTCCCTTTCTTGCCTGGATGACTGCCTGCTGATGCCTCATCCCTTTCTCTATACAGCAATCAAAATGTTCCTGTTAAAATGAGCATTAAATCATGTCACTCTTCTGCTTTTCCTCCTCCAGTGGTTTAATGTCTTGATCAGAGTAAAAGACCATTTTTACAAGAGCCCCCAAATCCCTACACGAGTCTAGTCCTCTTTAGCTCTCTTGCTTCATTTCTTACTACTTTGCGCCATGATAACTGCAATTCACTCATACACTAGCTTCCTTGCCATTCCTCAAACACACCAGAGAGATTCCCCATCAAGGCTTTTGAGTTTCCCCGTATATATCTCCATGGTTCACTCCTCCATCTTCTTTAGATACTTGTCTAAATATCTCACCCTCTGAGAAGCCTTCCCTCCTACCGCAGGACTCTCTATCCCCTTCCTTGCTTTCTTGTTTCCTGAAACACTTATCACCATTTAACAAAAGATGTTTTACTTACTCATTTTGCTTCTTGTTGCCTTTTTTCCAAGAATGTAAATTGCATGAGGGCAAAGATTTTTAGCTATCAGATCTAACCACACAAAAGTGTCATTTTTGTAGGTCAAAATATTTCATTCAATTTGCTTCTCAAGTGCCTGATACATAAACCTTTGATGAATGAATGAACAAATGAATAAATTTCATATGTATGTACAGGTCCTAAGGGAGCATATAATAAGGATTCATCTCAGAGGAGTGAATGTTTCAGCTGAATCTTTAAGGATAAGCTGGATGTTAGAAGCTACCAAGTGAAGGATGATACCCAGATCAAATTAGTAATTTGTACTAAGGCAACAGCATTGACTGGATAGTACATGATCTTAAAGGGATTACTAAATATTGGAGCTTTATTATAATTAAGAATTCGTGGTAGAATACTAAGCCAGAAAGTGATAAAATCAGTTTTGCATT